TCTCGTCGGATCATCATAGAGCACTACAGGTCTGGGCTCATTACATACCTGGGGGCCTCGTGCTTGGTCGACAAACCAGCTGAGCACTCGCCCTGCTCGTGCTTCATCCTCCCAGGCACATGCCACTTCATCCCATAGTGCATGTAGATCTTGGACAAATTCTGGCTGCTGTCTGAGGATCTGCTGCTCCTGCGGGATGAACTCAATGGCGTTTGGATTAAATCGAAACATGTTTGTTGATGACGAAGGTTGCGTTCGCTGCATGAGGTCAAAGGTGTCACCCTCAGCGTCTGCTGGCTGCAACCAATTCGGAATGGTTGAGAAAACAAGTCGCACCTCAATGTTAACCGCCGGTTCCAATGGTTCGAAGTCAACAATGCCAATGGGAAATCCCCGCAAAGAGACTGAACATCTCATCTGCACACATCTGGCTTGTAATTCAACAAGCCGCAGAATGCTAAGTTGATGCTGTAGCGGCTCAGTCAGATATGCTCGGTGTTGCCATCGTCGTGAATCAAGGCCTTGGTCGTGTATGCTAACTACAATTGGGACCAGTGGAGGATGCAACCCTTGATCTAAGATGACATGCGCCTGCACACATTCAAAGACGCTGCATGGTGGAACTGGCTGCACAACTCGCAAAGTCAGAGGTTCTTCCGGAGCCACATGATCAGCCCAAGACGCAACAATGTCGTCCGTCCAAAACTCCTCATCAGCAGTCAAACGAACACTCCGCCCTTCATAGCAAACAACATGACTCTCCGGCCGCAAATACCAGGTAGTGAGATAGATCACTGGCCCTTCCTCTTCACATTCAATCAGATCTCCATGTCGCAATGCAGCCCTCAAGAGCTGTCGCTGTTCATGAGCCAGACGGGTCCTGTCGCGGGAAAAATGCCGCTGTGCCCTTGGTCGATCACCACGGTCATCGACAGTCCCAATAGGCAAGGTGTCATGATGTGGATCTGTCTTGAGTTGAAGGGGCTCAGGCCTTGAGCTCATAGTGGCTTGCTGCTGAAAGAATGCTAATGCTCTTCGACATCCTGGAGGCCTGATATGATCTTCATCCATGAGATCCCGTGCAATGCCAATGGCGACTTCCGTGTCCAATGCTGGATCTTGTGGGGGTGGCACAATAATACGAATGTATTTGCCATGCTCCATGTCATGAACTCTGGTATCTTGCGCCAACCAAGGGACATGGTTTTCATAAACCACACATGTGTCAGCTTCAAGTTGGCAGTACTCATACAACCCTGCCAAAAGAAGTAGCTGTTCACGATGAATTTGGGGGTGAATTCTGACAACACGGCGGCTGGTGGCAGTTGGAACAAGCAGTCCGCTAGGCAAAGGATGAAAATGAATTTCAACATCGACCAATATCAAACGGTCATCAGAGCCAAATGGAACATCTTGAACTGCTTGCAAGATAACTGCTTCTTCGGAGGCAGCATGAACTCCGACTGGCGTCACAGCAAGGTAGTGGAAACACCTAGCCTCTCGTCTCGGCATGCCGCTTGCTCGAATAATTCCACTCAAAATGGACATGTAAGAACTTCCTTGTACAAAACAATGTACATCAGGTGCAGCCAGACGATACACCAACATGCTAAGATCTCCACTGTGCAAACTGCTCATGTCATCGTCATCATCCCCACCACCTGCTCCACCAGACGGATCCGACAACTCACGTTCATGTGCGTCTGGACAGTCTTCAGCTGGCTCTGGTCGGTGAGGGGGGGCAGCTGCTGGAGCGAGTAGCCATTGGCCCTCCCCTGATGAGCCTGCTGCTGCCGCTCTACATGGTTCAGGACGCGCATTGACAATCAAAATTGTGAGAGAATCGCCTGCATGAACTTCAAAAATCGGCGCCAAGGTAAATGGAATGGTTGCCCATGAGTGCGTGAAGGTGCATGTGATGTCTGGATGGTTACAGCTATGTAGAACATCTGCGGCTGATGCTATCGCCACTCCTCCAACTTGCCGTGCCAGCGAACTCGCAAGCGCAAAAGATGTGGGCGGCGTGGTCCTCAAATTTCTGTGAACTGTGATCAATGCAGGCATACGATGCGTCCATGTACCTTGTGACACAATAATGTCAGCATGCACTTCACGGGCAAGATAGCCCCTATATGGGTCAGGTTTGACAACATGAATGCGGACTTCTTGATTCGGTTGAATCATATCCCGCCATGCCCCCATCAAATCTCGTTCCCAATGGCGCCAATCTTCGTCAAATTCAAGAAACCGAGGATGAAGATTGCTTCGCAGGTCAACATGATGCACATACCAGGATCTGATTCGCATCGCACCATCACTGTCCAAATTGGTGAATGCTCGATGTGCGTCAGCCAGCTCAAAGACATCATGCACAAAATCAGGTGCCAAGGTAGGATCTGGAATAACATCTGGATCTTCCTCTTGTTGATCCCCTCCTCCTGGGATCTCTGGCGGCAACGGGCTGTGCCAAGCATCCGTCAGCCGATTCTGTTTGTGCAAAGGCTGTGGGTTCTGCCGGATCAACACGGCCACTTCGGACTGCGGTTCCTGGCATCTCCACACCAAGGTCGAAAGAGAATGTATCTTTTCATATGCATCACGCGCCCAAACCCAGGGTCGGATGAATTTGCCCCACGGTTTACCACGCCAAGAATGAAGAGCATCATGATGAGACTGTAGCTCCAACATCTTCAATGTGGTGTCCGGGCCAAAAAGGATTTGGACTTCCTCTGCAAAATGCACAGAACGAGGAGGTCGCTGTGGAACTTCACCAACCTGAAAACTGTCGTGACAAGGTAGGGAAGCCACAGATTGGCATGGCCAGTTCCCCTGGACTGGTTGGTTGCCGAGCTCAAACTCGAGGGCTACCGCACTTTCTCGGGCTTCAAGCTGTGAAACAAAATCAACTTCACCATGAATAGAATGCTGGAGCCCCAATCCAGGAGCATAGCACTCATGCGACCATGCAGGCTTCCCACAATCGTACAATGATGTCACTGACCGTGAGCCTTGCCAAAAGGCTGCATGGATGGCAACGCCGCAGACGTAGAGGCAGGTGCTCCTCCCATAGGCGCGTCTGCTGGGGGCGCTAGCGCCTCCTCTTTTCGTGGGCGCTTTTTCATCTGCTCCTGTTCTTCGGCATGTTCTTGATCGGCCTGCTGCGCAAAATCCTGCAACGATTTTGTCAGATGTTGGAGGCCTACTTGAATCTTCATGGAACTCTCCTCTTTCACCATCTCGCTGTCCATGGCGGCAGGATCGTCCTCGGCATCGATGGCAATGATGCCTTGATCTTGAAGCTCCTTGAAGACCTGTTGCGCTTGCTTGAGCTCCTCTCGTGCTTGCCCAATGGCTCCAAGATTCACTCGCTCTTGGTGTTGAAAGCGCTCTGTGTATTCCTGCCATCTCTGGACAGATTGATGCAAGAATTGGCGCCATGTGGCTAAGTTCTGCGCCCTTTCGTGGCAGGCATGTTCTAACGCCGCATGTGCCTTCCCTAGGACTTCCACTGCTTCGTGCATCCCTTTGATCTTCATTTTGCCATCTTTCACTGAGGTGTCCTTGAGCATCTGTGCCACATCCGGAGGTAGTTCCGTCTCGTTCTTCTTGAGGGTGGCCAAGACTTGCCGTAGTTTGGATTCTGCCTGTGAGGCAGTGTCCGGAGCCACCGATGTCTTGCCATCGTTGTAGGGTGGAGGCGGTTGCATCCAAGCAGTATCCATGGTACTCATGTAAGGTGGGATGGGTGGCGGTGGCAGAGGCGCCATGCCTTCCTGTCCCATAAATCCCTTCTGAGACCCTCTCATCTCGCCTTTGCCCTTGCCCTTCCCTGAACGTCCTTGGTTGCCCTTGCCACGACGGGATTGAGGGCGTTGTTGGCGGCGTCGAGGACTTTGTGATGCATTGCGTCCCCAGCTTTGCCAATCCTCCCAAGAGGCGTTGGTATAGGTCTGATTCCTGTGCGTAGATGTTGAAGTTGCCTCTGGATAGGAGGAGTCTATGCAATTCTCCCACCATTGACCGCATCCCGGGCAATACATGACGGTGCCCTTGACCATGCGGCGACAATCTCCACATTTCCACGGTGCTGCTTTTGCTGCTGCCATTGCTGATTGAACCTTGCGCAAAAACTTGGGATCTCTTGAATGGTGATTTTGGAGCACTTTCCAAATGTGCAAAAGGCCCTGCTGATTCAATCGGCGGAAGCCCTTGACGTGTAAGTGCCACCGAAGCCTGGCTTGAGCTCGCTGCCGGCGCTGGGATCTCCGCAATGAGGCAGTCGCCGTAGTGCAATGTCACAAGCTGGTCAAATTCAATGGCGTGCTCAGTGAAGAGAAAGTCCTTGTCTCCCTTCAGCAGGATCGACCCAAGCACGAGGAAGAACAAGGCCCAAGACATACACAAGGGTGAGGTCAAAGCAGAGCTCGCCGCAAAGCCAGAACTCGCCAAAACACGCTGCAGTCAGTAAGGTCGCGACGAGCAACCCGCGGGTCACAGCAAAACCCGCTAAGGTGAAGCAACCAACAGGGGACCCTTAAACTAGTCCAAAACCCTGCTGGAGCCAAAACCTTGGTGGTGACATCTGCGAAAAAAAACACTATTCATTTAACTTAGTCCCCATGATATTCACCATAAATGACACCATGATATTCCCAATAAATCCCATCAAATCCCATTAAATCACCATTGTATAAATCCCATTAAATCACTATGAAGTTCATTAAATCACCTTTGATGTAGAATTTCCCTTTTGTTTCTTTTCCTGAAAGTTCAAAGTGGTGGCAAACAAGTCGTGCAGCACTGTGGACATCCTTTTGGAAACTGCAAAAAATGGGTTTCACAGCCAAATATCATATCAACTAGGTGAAATATATCTCTAAAAACTATCTCAAATCATATTCCCATATCCCCAAATTATTTTTCGTGAACATCTCATATCCCAGATCTCTCCCACTTAAGTTCTTAGGTTCCAAAAAACCTTGTGGCCACATACGTCAAAGGCTCTTCGAGGACATCGAGGTGCGCCCCTCGCTGCTGCACGGCGACTTTTGGAGTGGCAACGTCGCAGTCGTCGAGGATCGGCCGGCGGTCTTTGATCCTGCAGCCTACTACGGACACCACGAGGCCAGGCCTTGATAGTTGAGCATGATTTATATATTATATAAAATATATATTATGTAACTTGGGTTTCAACCATGGTTTATATATTATATATTAAAATATTAAATGTTTTTCTATTGTGTGGGAAATTAATATGATTCAAACTTCAAACACATCGGGATGAAGTTGATAAATGATTGTTCGTTGATGAGTAGTTCGGGGGTTATACTACCATGTATCATCACCATCCATGAACTGGGAATCCCTTTCTTACTAGTAAGTATGATAATCGGCGTTGATCATGATTACGATCATACTCTAGTTATATTATATTGCATGACATAATAAACTTAATAGCAATAAGAATAGTAATAATAATGATGATAAGGATAATAACAGTACTGATATATATATATATATACAGTATATAATGTGTTTATATCATATTTATATTCATATAGCTGTGTGTGTACATGTATGTATACATATACATACATTCACGTATACCGTATACTAATATAGAATTCGGTATCCATGGTGCCGTGCTTTTGAATCTCTGGGATTTGGTGGTTATGTTCCATTAATGGGATGATTTACCCAACGGACTCTAATGTGGTAAAGCCCACTTTCATAATCACACTCTCCAATATAATTACACTCTCCAATATAAGCATAAATGGATGTAAGTGAGTGGTAAACATCATGCCAAATGCTCGGTTTGTTTTTCATTGGGTGGATCCCCAAATTCATTTGATAAATTATAGTGACCTCAGCTATTTTTAAGCTTAGAGAATTGCTACAATTCAGCCAGATTCATACTTTTCAGAATTGGTTGAAACCACCCACCCAGCACACAACGCGTTCACGCGGTTGAGGCCGAGTGGGGCATGTCTCGCCCTGGATCTCTGTCAGATGACTTTTGGAGAGGTGACCAGTCGGCAGAAAGCCCTGGTTTCCACCGCCCATAGCCATATAGGTCTCCTGCTGTCCTTTTTTCACATCAAAACACCATCTGACTGGCATAGTAAAACCGCGACCTGACTGGATTAGCAAAAAACTTCATTCAACTGGTGAGTGTAGAAGCATCATTAGTTTATTAGTTCTACTTTCCTATATAGCCTATGCAACGAACCTTATGATCCCATCGAGGCTTTACGACCTGCCATTGTTTTTTCGCTGGTTCTAACCAAGGATTACCCTCTGATAATCAAACGTAGCAATGGAAAATCCCTTGTAAATGGAGGTTTTACTGGGAAAATCATTTGTAAGTGAGGGATCATCACTGATCATTGCTTAGGTCGCAGAATTGGTTGAAGAGATAATTCACATGTTGCACCCCTACATCCGGCGGTTACATCCGGGTGTAAAAACCAGGTTTTTGTGTGGATTTTGCCCGAAACAAAACCAATCCATCCAAGGTAGCAAAGTTGGTTTAACGATCTATAACTAACATTTCGCTATATCGGGGTTTATGTTAGAGATATCGAACTAGTTGGGGTAACATAAACCAACGTTTCACTGGGAGGCACCATCCCTGCGCCCTGAGGCTACAGACAGCACATTGTTGAGGATCCTGGATTTGAGGAGCGCAGGCCGCTCTACCGCGCCTATCACCAGCTGAATCATTTCAACCTTTTTGGAGGTCGGGATGTGGTTCCAATGGAAACATGGGAAAATCGAGATTGATGGGAAAAGAATGGGATTATAATCCACATGAATTAATCCACTTAATGGGATATATCTATCCTTCGTAATCCAACATGGCTAGCTGGGAAATCGACTCCACTTAATGGGATATATCTATCTCCACTAATGGGATATATCTATCCTTCGTAATCCAACATGGCTAGCTGGGAAATCGACAAGTGGGGCTTTTTCCTGTGCCAGTTGATTACGAGAGTATAATCGTGATGAAGACTGATTAACCATCAATAACTTGAGCTAGACAACTTTGGTTTTGACAATCAAAAAGTTCAGTCTCTCTTGAGGATGATGGGAGAGTGACAGCGATGTGTACATGAGATAGCACCATGAAGATCCTTCTAAGAGTCTAAGAGTCTCCTGCTCGTAAGCGAAAAATCCATCATCTCCAGATTATTTTTGCTCCCTACGGGCTACAGATCCGCCGGTGTGTCGACGCATTCCCACATATTGGTACATATTGAATCTATTGTATACCATGATATCGCTACTGTAATTTGTAATACTATATAGTAGGTGATTTCCCTATCCATTTTCCAATGAAAAAAGGGAACACACGGGAAGATTTGCCAGTTCCCGGCCGGATCTCCATCGCCAGGTGACTACTTGACTCGGGCCATTCGGTCGCTGGAAGCGGTGAAGCAGAGCCTGGAAAAAAAATCGGGGCCCAAGGGGCGAATTTCCGGAGGGTGCGCAGCAACATGAGACCAACATGGTGGATTTTACCCTCTGGTTATGTCAATATAGCTATTGAAAATCGTTATTTATAGTGAGTTTTCCCATTAAAAATGGTGATTTTCCATAGCTATGTTAAATTACCAGAGGGTACATGATTTCATCAACAAAAAATGGTGGATTCGATGGGAATCGATGAAAAAACCACATCCCATGTTTTTTTGGGAGGATGAACAGCAGCTATTTGGATGTGAGTTCACCTAACATTTTGGGTTTCCATATGATTTTTCTCAATCATCGGGATCTGACATGGGAATGTGGGTATGGCATTGTATGGGTCAACCACAATGAGGGTACCACTTGACCCAGAATATTTTCATATCTTATAACATCTTATAACAATGAACTGGTTGGAATCCAGCCATGGGTAGTTATGCAAGTTCTACAAGTTATACCCTAGCATTTTTGCTTGATCACATCAGATTCCCATTATTCCCATTCCACCAAGAAACGTCCGTGACAGGCTCTGGCCCCTTCCGTTCTACGTGAGCACGCGGAACTTTCCCTTGGTGCGCTGTCCGTCCTTTGGGCAATTTCAGGTAAGCTCATTTTGCAATGGGCAGTCCCCATTTATCACAGCAACATCATGTACTTACTTATTTAATCTTATTTATACTTATTCACCAGTGTTTTTTGGCTTAATCATTGGTTGGGGATACAAATTTCTCCTTTCCAGTGCTAGCTTTGTTTGCCGGAGGGTAAGCCACTCTTAAATAGGAATCGGAGGGATCTGACTTAATCCGCCAAAATCATTCAAGGATCTGAAATACCAAACATCCAGATTTGACCATCCCAAATATCAGGATTTAACCTGCCAAGAGTCTCAAGAGTGTTGTTTTTCTTTAAAAAAAAACACCCCAAAAAATCAACAGAAAGGCTTGTTGTGGGCGCGCAAAAAGGCAAAATTTCCTAAAAACATTACATGGTCTAAAGCAATATTGTTTTTTTTTTTGCCATGCATACACAAGCCTTTTCCAGTGGAAATAGAACATCAATTGCCTCAGTTTCGTTGATCATCCTTTGCAGATCACCATCCAATCTCAGCCCCTGTATGGCAGGTGGTCATGACCCTGTCATGGCTTCTGCACATGGATTCCCATCTGGATGTCTCGGTGGCATACTTCACATCAGGCTGCGGTGGCGGTTGCAGGTCGTCCAGAAAACTCTGATGGTGTATTTATGAGCGCCCAAACTCTGGGTATGGGTCACATTTGTGAGTTGAACTAATAAATTGTGGCTACTTACTTGAGGTGTATGAGATCTTGACCCATCGTGCGAGATGGCAAGTTGCGGTGGCACCTGATTGGCACAGCAGTACTTCAGGTTTTGGGGAGTTCTTCGAATGGGCTGATTCATCATCTTCCCCATTATATCAGCCCGGGTGCATTTCTGGTTGGTGGTTTGGAATATTGTTTTTATTTTTCCATATATTGGGAAGAATCCCAACTGACTAATCTTTTTCAGAGGGGTTGAAACCACCAACCAGATTTGTTGTTGGAATGTTTTTCTCCATTTTTCGATCCAAGCTTTGATGCTGACACGTTCTCCCAGCTTTGACTCGTGCGCCGCAGTTGTCTTCCCGGATTTCTTTGAAGAGTCGGGGGACACCCGGGGATATCCGTGGGGATTGGTCCTGGATCGATATTGGTCCTGGGTGATATTTGAGGTACCTTTATGGACCGACATTGGTCATTTTTGGTATAGAAAGTGTTCTAGTAATTGTAGAATATGGCTATAGATCAATACCTATAGATACAACTTGTTAGGGGATGAACATCCATTTACCAGTTATTTTGATGTTCACCAGGGGTACAGGGTTTTTGACCCATCCCCATATCAGTTTGACCCATAGCCACATGCGATATCACAAGATGTATCAAGATGTGATAGTCGATCAATGCCCATGTGGGTCGTTGGTTTCCAACTCGACTTCCAGGCCGTTGTCCACAAGCCATGATTGATTATGGGACTCTACCCTCTGGTAAACTAACATAGCTATTGAAAATTGCCATTTATATTGGATTTACCCATTAAGAATAGTGATTTTCCATAGCTATGTTAGTTTACCAGAGGGTAATATCTTCAGCTAGATCAAATTTAAATGTTCATTCTTGGCGTTGAAAGGCATCTTTCTGGGTAAATTACATCGACCTCACTGTTCTCCCTCACTGGAATGATGGTGAATGTATAAGGGAATTATCCCAATATAGCTCAACATTTCAGGTTAGTGCATGATTATCATTTACCCGTATAATCCCAGGTATATGTGCATCATGAAGCATTATTTGCCATCATTGACCATCACTCATCACCAATAACCACATCGCGTCCACTTTTTTTCACCTTTTTTCCTTTCCATCTGATCTTTTTTTGGGCTTCAAGACAGCATCTTCCGCGCTGATCCGCCTTTGGGAATGGATCCCAAGGTGATCAAAACGGGCCCTGGGGCTGCGGGTTTAGTGAAATCCCCAGTTTTCAAGTAGGGTAACAGCACTTTGGGACTTACTACTGTCAGAGTTCCTGTCAGACTTACTGTCAGACTTATTAACAATGCTTATAAACCAATTTTGAAGTGGGATGATCCTCCAAATAGTGAGTGGAATGGCCATGAAATGAATGCGAAGGGGGACAAACATGTCCATTCAGCTTTGTAGGTATGACTGTTAGGCACAGTTCTGGAAGCGGGTGGGCCAATACTTTGGAATTCAGAATTTCGAAAAGCCATGTTATTGTGAGTGCTGGGTCTCAAATGGTTCGTTTCTCCTATCTTGCCGTGGATCCAATGGATACCAGTGATGTTCCCGGTATATTTCTGATTGGCTCAAATGATTTACGGACAACCATCGACGGTTGAGTAGTGTTTAGCAAATTAATTTTCATGAAACAACCAATTCCCAAGTTTTTCCATGGGTAGGATTCAACCCACCCCACTTGGCCTTTTTTCACATGTCAACCCGCCACAGGATGCAGTCGGTGACATGGATGCCGAGTCCTTGCAGAAGCTGCAGGTGCCAGTCTCGGATCATGGCGATGTTCCAGATTTTTGCTGGAGATAGCCTCTGGTAAAACTAACATCACTATGGAAAATCACCTTTTTTTAATGGGTAAATCAACTATAAATGGATATCTCACTTGGATGATTTTCAGTGATATCTCTGATATGTTGCTAGCTATCATACTGCCAACCATGAAAACAAACCATCATGATTAGTGCTGATAAAGACATACCATCATATTGGGTTGTCTGAAAATAGGCTTCCAACAACAATCCCATGCTTTAAACCGCAATTGTTTTGCCATATTTTCCCCACCCGAATATGGCCAGAACTGGGTTCATCCCCTCCGACAGCAGAATGGTCAGGTGCGACCCTTCGTGCTACTGTCCGACCGGCAGGACTGGCTGAAGAGCTTGCAAGCGGAGGCGCTTGATGGGGGATCTCCGGTATCTTGTTTTTTTTTCCCCATTTTTTCAAACATCCACTTAGTTGAAATGATAATTAACCATGAATAATCCATGAAGTGGATTTTTCTACGGGATTGTAATTTGTTTATGCTATCAATGTCAAAATCAATGGGATTTTCATGGGAAAAATCCATGGGATGATCGAAGTGCTGGGGAATTTTTCAGCCATGGAGCTGACTACTCTGGTAGGGCAAAGTGGTGATGTTTAAGATGGGGAAAGCCTGATTTTGGATGGGAAATTCAGGTAGAATGACTTGAAAAAGGCCAGCATTTTTTCTATCATACACTGGGATATGATGGGATTCAACCAAGCCAGAGTTGCTGCTTCCAACATCTTCCCCTTTGTTGCAGGTCACGTTGCATAGAGTATATACAATCATCCCTATTCTTAGGTTTCATCACATTTCCTCCTCATCCCTGGTGCGTTGCTGTTTGAAACTCCATGTAGATTCAAACGCAAGCTATTTGAGACTGCTCGTATTGGAGAACACATTTTGAAACTACAGATTGAAATCCAAGGCAGCTATTTGGAAAAACACAGCTTTCCCATGTGGTAAATTCGAAAATAAATTTCATCAACAATCCCCAATTGGGTTTATGAATGCAATTGGGTTTACCACATGGGGTTACCAATACGTATACACAATGAAGAAAGACCACAAGTTGGGTACTCACAATCACTTGCCACCATTCTGATTGACTATATCAGATCAAGACCCGATTTTTTGTTTGATGATTTAGCTATCTTTGGTACTCAACTGGTTGTGACTATTTTTATTCTTAAACCCCGTGTTGTTCTTAGCATGATCCATGGTCATTGGTCAAAGGTTTTAATTATTACATAATTACAAGGTAATTGCCACTATTCTCGCTAATTGTATCCGCATGATTGCTTGATTACATTCCCCATTTTCTCTGATATTAAATTGCCCGTAATACATCCAGGTGATTTTCATTGTGATTCCCACTACTGGTGGGTCAAAACTTCTGTTATGAGCTAATTATATATACATATATATACCCATTCATCCCATATGTTTGATATCATCTGGTAGATATGGGATTTGATATAATATATAGATACTATATAAATTCTATATAGATTGTATATAGATACTGCATAAATACTACGTATATATATATATATAGATACTATATAGATTCTATATAGCTACTTTATAGATACTACATAGATACTATATATATATATTATAGACACTATATATATATATATATTATAGATGCTATATACATAGTAGATACTATATATATATAGATACTATATATATATATCTATAAATCTATAGATACTATATATATAGATACTATTTATATTATAGATACTTATATATATGTATCTATAGATACTATATATATATACAGATGCTATATATGTAAAGATACTATATATATATATAGATGCTATATATATATAGAGATACTGTATATATAGATACTATATATACATAGATACTATATATATATATAATTTATAGATACTATATATAAATATATATACATATTTATTTCTATAGATACTATATATATATGTATATATTATAGATACGATATATATATATATCTATAGACACTGTATATATAACTATAAATTTATTGTAGATACTATATATTCATAAATACTATATGTATATATTATATATTCGTAAATACTATATATGTATATATATATATCTATAGACACTGTATATTATATATATATTGTAGATACTATATCTTTGTAAATACTATATATATAGATACTGTATATATAGATATATGTATAGATATAGTATCTTATATATAGATACTATATATATAGATACTATGTATATATATATAGATACTATGTATATATTTATATAGATTATATATATACTATATATAGATACTATACATATACAGATACTATACATATATAGATACTATGCGTATATAGATGCTATACATATATAGATACTATATATATATATGTATATATATAGGCTCGTCCCAGGTCCTGGAACTACATACGATGGGGTGGGGGGATGGGGTGGGATGTTAACGTTCATTGTGAACTTGCGAAGCAGTTGATGCTACGCACACGCGGGGTGGGGTGGGGGGGATGGGGTGGGATGTTAACGTTCATGTGAACTTGCAGAAGCAGTTGATTGTACGCACACGCGGGGTGGGTTCGGGGGGTGGGGTGGGATGTTAACGTTCATGTGAACTTGCAGATGATGATGATACTAATGCTGATGATGATGATGATGTGATGATGATGATGATGATGATGATGATGATGATGACCCTAATGAAACTTGTCAATTCCGCGACGAAATTTAGTCACGGAATTGACAAGTTTTACTAACCTAATTCGGGTTTGCGCAGTTCTAGGAGCTGGGACGAGGCTATATATACTATACGTATATATATATATATACAGATACTATACACATATAGATACTATTCATATATCGATACTATATATATAGATACTATATGTATAGAGATACTATGTATATATATATACACAGATACTATATATAGATATTATATACATATATATATATATTCAGATACTATATATAGATATTATATAGGTACACGTACTATATATATATAGATACGATATATATATATATACACATGCATTTAGATACTATGTACATACACACATTTATATTATCATATACTCCTGATTATTGATATTATTATACTATATATGTTCATAGATACTATGTATAGATACTATATATATATAGATATGATATTTCATATATATATATATATGTATGTATATATATATTGTATATATATATACACGTACACATAGATACTATGCATATATATATATATATATCATGATTTCAAATATATATATATATATACATACATATTTAATACTTCATATTACAGTATATATTCATATATTGTGCAACCCAGCATCTACCCATGTGCGGTGCCTACATGGCATGGTCCTTGCAGGCGCCAAAAAAGACGCGACAGCTGCGTCGTCTCTGGGCCGACGCCTTTCGACAGCAGCTGCAAAGCTGCCGGATGCGCGCAGTGGCACGGTGAAACAACGGGCTGGGGGAACCATGAAATGATGGGGTTTCCATGGTCATGGGATTACCTCCATATCATCCATTTTCATGGGATTTTCCATTATAAACTATCCATTTGGGCGTACCCCCATTTTAGCAACCTCCAAATGATGGGGTGAGCTATCTGACTAGGTGAGACATTGCTTTTCTGCATAATTTTGGGGGTTACTATAGGTTTTGTCAGGAGGTTAGCCATCAAATTCCTTGGAGTTTCTACCGTCAACAAAACTCCAACTTGACGGGAAAGTATGGGCAAACTGATTAGTGCAGGGTAGTTTGATGCTCTAACCTTTTGCCACAAGTGGAGCAACATAGTGGATTACAATGCCCAGCTCCGTCAGAAGAACTTAGGCCATCCAAAACCTTTTGGTTCGCAGATTTTTATTGGAGAAACCTTGTTCCCATTGCTACTGGTCATATTGCCTTTTTGTTACATTCCTTATTCTTCTCTGGCTTGAAGCTCCCCTTTCTTTGTTGCTTTATACCTCCCATACCTCCCATTGTCATATCGCCAGCTTTTGTTGGTTCAAACCAAGTTTGTGCTGTGTCTGTGGTTGGCCACATCCGAAATTCATTGTGCACTTCACTTTTTCTACCAGATGCAGTCTTCGGATGAGCGCACGGCTTTTTGGGTCAAGATTTCCGGCTTCTTTTTGGGGTAAACTAGGCTTTCCCCTGAAACTCTTTTCGTGGGGATGGTGTATCTCCGAGAGGCTTGTATGACATTTTGCACAGTGCTCAGGTACAAGTCTTGAGCACCCTGGGGACCGAGTTGGCTGAGGTGCCGTTTCTGAAACCAAGCGGTTTGTGATGGGGATAGAATGGGGATGAAAATGGGATATACCCCCAAAATTGGTATTTTAATGGTTTGCAAGGGTGACCTGGATGGAAGGCAAAAATCACTGCGAAACATGGCTGAAGAACATAAACATCAAATCAGCCAAAAAAAGGTAGAGGGACAGGTACAGTACTATTACTATCTCCAAGTTGGTGAATGTGGTAAACCATCCTATTCGGGATGGCTTGATGGTCTATTGTTGGGTTTACTAATTTACCAGATTACTTCATTCTCGAATATACTACTCTTAGATCATTTTTGATCCGTCCGTACCCACTATTTTTTTGGACTCTTCTTATGAGTTGGTTTGGTTGCTCAATAATTACTACTATTACATTATGATTTCTACTACTGATAAGTGATAGTGTCTTAGTACTACTGCTGCTTAGTAGTACATGTTGAAGTCCAAGGTTTTTGAGAGTTCTTGAACATAGTGATATCAATGAAACCCATACTTCATGTTATTTTCTACATAGTGACATACAAGAAGTCCATACTGGATAACTAGTTTCTTTTGGTACGATTATAGTACAATACTATAAATAGTACCATGATTGAAGTACATCAATAATGAAGTACACCAATAGTAAGTACATCTATAGTTAGATACCGTTGATTACATATATATATAGTCCATTATCATTGGTCATATATAGTTACTAGCGGTACTTGCTATTACTGGAACTATATTACTATATATATATATACATATTATATGTATATGATAATGGAACTATTATGACTACATAATATTACTATTACTATTACTATAACGGTTTTGTTACTATTGTAGTTGCCATTATAGTAAAGGTACGGCCAAACACCTCGATTTGCCCGCGCTTGTCGGCGGCCATCTTCGTATGTGCTGAAAACGTGGTAAAATGGGAGTTTTTTGCATGATGGCTAACTTCATGTTCTATATCGGCACGCACCGCATAGGGACCTGTGCGAGTCTCTTACACATCATCATCATCATCATCATCATCATCATCAAATCCTTATTGAAGATCTTCAATGAATGTAGAAGTTTAACGGAGGTGGGAGAATTAAACCCTTATTGAAGATCTTCAATGAATGTAGAAGTTTAACGGGGGTGGGAGAATTAAACCCTTATTGAAGATCTTCAATGAATGTAGAAGTTTAACGGGGGTGGGAGAATTAAACCCTTATTGAAGATCTTCAATGAATGTAGAAGTTTAACGGGGGTGGGAGAATTAAACCCTTATTGAAGATCTTCAATGAATGTAGAAGTTTAACGGGGGTGGGAAATTTATATTCCCTAAATACCCTTGTCGATCTTCCCAATTGAATGTAAAGTCTAACGTTTGACATCCCCAAGTGTACAGCATAGAAGGGGTGTGGGCGAATCGGGGTGTTTGCGCGTAAAGGTACTATTACAGTTCTATAATAACAATCAATCGTACTATTATAGCTACTATTACTATTGCTAATTCCTATTACTATGACCATTACCATTTCTATTTACATTACCATTACCATTACCCTCTGGTTATTTAACATAGCCATGCAAAATGGCCCATTTATAGATGATTTTCCCATTAATACCTCCATTTATAAGGGATTTTCCATGGCCATGTTAAATAACCAGATGGTATATACTATTGCATTATAACCGTACTATCTCCTCTGTCACAGGAGTTGGAAGCTGCGCTCTTTCTGCAGTTGGGTGACGCCTGGGCCGCCGACTGTGTCCGCGAAGATGTGGAGGACAGGGGGCCAGAAAAAGCCATGTGGAAACCTATCTACACATATCTACACCATTGATTCATAGATTGATCGATTGATAGATTGGTTTCCCATAAATCATAGTGACATAGCAATCTATTGAAATATCAATCTATTGATCATAGTGATGTGTATTGAATAAAGCCATAGTGAAAAACACCATTCATAGATTGATGGATTGATAGATAGATAGATTGACAGATTGGTTTCCCATAAAGCAAAAGTGAAATAGCAATTTATTCAAATATCAATCTATCGATCATAGTTGATGTTTAGTGATATTATAACGCCTTAGTGAAACACACCGTTGATAGATTGACCATTTGTTTGCTGAAATGGTGTGTTTCACTGATCTATCTATCTATCTATCCCATCCTATCCTATCCTATCCTATCCTATTTTTATCTTTATCTTTATCTTTATCTTTATCTGTATCTTATCTTATGGTGGGTGTTACTTCAGGAAGCCTGGGATAGGAAGTTTCGTCGAGTTTTGTGGGTAATGGGGTGTATCTTTCCACAACAACACATGGACGGCAGAACAAATCAGGATTTTCGCCCCAGCAGATGGGTTTACATGGTTTACTCGAACCAGTACACTTTGGCGAATATAGTGACCCTGACATGAGCTGGGGGCTAGAAAACAAAAAGAATCCTCTGAGAATTGGTGATTCTCAGGATCAAAGTCTATTAGTCGGAAGATGGTAAATTCATAGATCCTATAAATCCAATTTTTAGGGAATGAACATGCGTGAGCATCGGCTATTTTGATGTGAGTTTTGTCCCATCGCCATCATCCACTACCTGCTCAGATCCCAGGGAAACCCATGAATTGCCATAGCTCTTTGTATGTTTACTGGAGGGTAAATCAATGCATTGCTGCCATTGCTTGATATTATCTAGATCTTTCCCAGGACACCATGCACGTGCGCCGCTGCAAGGGATGTCTGTGCTTCGCTTCGAGGTCGAACGGGAGGGTTGGAGATGGGGGTCGTCTTCGCCTCATTAAAGATAACCTTCAGTGATCAAACATGGCAATGGGTCAATACCTATACATACCATTTTTAGGGGGATGAACATCCGTTTACCAGCTATTTTGATGTTCACCAGGGGTACTATTGGTTTTGACACACTGCCACACATCCATAAATCCCAGCTATTTTGGGGTTCACTAGGTACCAGGGTTTTGATCCATCCCCACATGGCGGGGACTTTCCAGCCTCGTTCGATTGGAGGGTACCCCCTATAGGTTGTTATAGGGGCTTGTGAACCTTCCTGTATTTGGTTGGGATCATAAAAAAGTCCGTAATTCACCAGAGACCCATGAATCAGATCTAATCAGTATTTTAGTAGATGGGATAGTGACATTTTTAACGGCTCATATAAGGTGGTACAGGAAATGGTACACTGGGGACCAACAAGATCTTTGGTCCAACTAGCATGGGAAGTACTGTGGATGGTTGCGAAATCCTGCACCAGGCAGGGCAACTGTTGCTAACTATGAAAAGCTGTAAATAATGGGATATAACGGGATAAACCATCTAGAATCTACCAACTGGTGCTGGATTTCGCAACCATCCACAGTATCAAAGGAAAATACAATGGCTTTGTGCGAAGCCGGGTATTTACCGCCAACATATGTTGATGGGGAAGATGATGATCGGCCTGCGGATGGAACGGAGTGGAACGGAGACAGCGGTGCTGGAGTGATGTATCCACCAGTTGGGCCCCCTTGGTTGGGCCCCATCCGCGCGTAACCCCGTGAGATGATGGAGATTGTCAAAAAAAATCTGCTGTGTTTCATTTTCTGTGGAAATCTGGGGTCCTAGAGAGTCTCAGGAGATCTTCAATGTCAGATATTCCGATATTCCCTTGATTGGTTTTACTTGGTTTCTATGTTGGTGAATACTGAATCCTGTTGCTGACATCTCTTCTATCATCATGATGTTTTTGGGATGCTGCTAGAAGACCAGTATGGAATTCGTTTGACCTCCCAAGTAGTTGCTTGGAGTAGACGAGTAAACTCCTTTCCAATGGCCAGATCCATTCCTAACATCTGGCTGCCGATGTTCAGGTTCTCCTCTTTGCCAGGCTCAGATACATGGCGGGCCGCTGGGAAATCCCTAGCCATGCCATGGAGGTCTTTTGCTGGGAAATCATCGAACTGTTGCTGGGAACTTTTCCATTCTTGCCATGTTTGATTACCAGAGGCTATACCCTCTGGTAAACTAACATAGCTATTGAACATGGCCATTTATAGTGAGTTTTCCCATTAAAAATGAGTAAAAATGGTGATTTTCCATGGCTATGTTAGTTGACCAGAGGGTATTCAATTTTTTGTGTTTTTTTGTCATGTTTGATTACTAGATTGGCTCAAACTTCCTGACCCAAAAGAAGTTGGATGGTTGAAAACATGACTGTTTCTTTGTGCATCCACTGGTACTCCATTTCGTCGCTGCCTAAATATGGCCATGGAATCACTTAATTTTTGCAGATGAATTAGCCATTGAACGCAGGTGATTACCACCACATTATCACTTATTTGGTTGCTGGTTTCGAAGATGCTTGATTTTCAACCATAGAAATGGGATGAGCCCTCATTGACGAATATTCTTGAGATGGGTTGACAACACTAAGTCACCAGATTTAATCACTTATGAAGTGGGGAACATCTTGGACTTCTGGTGGTGACTACTGGAATGAATTGCAGTTGTACCTGGGATGTAGGAACAGCCCTGCAGCTAGGAATTCACAGCTGGATCCGCGACAATTTGGTGAATTCACAGCGTTTTTGCTAATTATATGAAGGTTTCCTAAAACTTAGGTACCCCAAATCATCCAAAAAAAATCATTTAGCATTGAAACCCATGGTTTAAAATGAGATCTTCCATTTTAGGAACCCCCTATAGATTTTGCAACTGGGATCAAAGGGAGTTGCAGAACCACTGATACTTGAGGATGACCTATGGTGAAGAATCCTGAAGATTACAATTTTCAAGACATTCTACATAGGCATCCCCCATGTCACCGCGCCGTGCCAGATGAGCCGCCCGCCGCGCGGGCGCAACGTCTGCTGGAGGGCTTCCCAAAACCGCCCCAGCCGCCGCAGCCAGCGCAGCCCGTTTCGCAGGGCGAGGATGCGATTGAGGATTTTCCAGAGGACCCCATTCTCCTCGGGCCGTGGTCGATGTAGGGCATGACCTCGTGACTGCGACATACTGGGACCAAATAAATAGAGGTGTTTAAAATTGGGGGATGGGGTTACCATCTAGATACCAGCTGCAAATTTGTTACAGTTTGCTATGGACAATCACATATTGTTTTTTTTCCAAAATCATCTAATAAATAGGCCATGTTCCATAGTTATGCTAAATTACCAGAGAGTATGAAAGTTTTATCTTAAAACTATACATGGGGATATGAAAAACTAACCAGCTAGAAATTTGATTTCCGGATACGGGTACGTCTGGGGTCGTTGGCCTGAACATCTTTCTAATCCATGTAATATTGACTATTAACTATATTACTCTACTCATCAATTAAGTTTCGGACCCATGGAACTTTTTTTTTGATGCAATTTTCTGCGGAGATGTGTCGCACCACGTTGGTTGTCTGGAGGGTGATTGGGTTTCCACCAAGATCAGGGTTTTCACCATAGAAATGTAGGGACTTTAACATCGACATGTCAAGGAAATTTGAAGAAGCAACCACACACACATTCAGCATGATTGTGGTTAGCAGCTTATCTATATAGAACATTCCTTCTGGCAATCAAAGATTGCAATGGACAATCCACCATTTAGTTCGATGATCTTCCCATGAACATCTCCATTCACAGGGGGTTTTCCAGCTAGCCACTGTTTGATTACGTAAAGGGTAGCCATTCGGCGACGAGGACTTGAAAGTGGCCCCGAAAGCGGCCGCGAAGCGGCGGAAGGTTCAAGCCCCGAAGGGCCCGAAGGCCAAGGCCAAGAGGAAGAAGAGCGTGGCGTCTTGGCGCCATGGGGATGGTAAGGATGTTAACCAAGCAGTGGGAATTTACGCTCATCAAAACAATGATAAAAGTTGGAGTGACCGACCTGAGCAGACCTTGAGGTGAACATGTGGAGTATATTTTGGCAAAAATCATAGAGGAACATGAAACTAAACAGCTAAAATCATGTGATTTTTGGCGGGTCTCTGACCAGGGGTAGCCCGGCGAAGCTGGGATTATGGATGAATCTGCTGGGAATCCATCAACCCAGCAGAAGGGGATGTGGCTTCCAACCTTTTTATGCAGGTTTTGATTGAACAAAAATGGAAAATCACTTCTAGACTCACCATGGAGCCAACCTTTTCAGGTTCATATCTTTTAGTGGTTGGAGTCGGATCCCCAATGGGAAACAAACATAAATGGTCGGAAATCCTGGGGAAATCATCCCAAGGTCGTCTATTTCGGCTTTTTGGACATACACATGGCTATTTGCCCATATGGGGTCAGATACCGTTTGCCCATAAGGGGTCGGATACCGTTTGCCCAGCGGGATCGGGCAAAGAAGAATCATAGGTGACACAGCCAATATCAGCCAATTGATATGGGATTTGGGACAACGGTTTGTGAAAAAATAGGCCACGCCTAAATTTCATGGCGTATCATCATTTCTTCCCCTCTAAAATGTCTATTTGAGGGTATCCCCCGTTAGGACATAACTCATCATTGGAGGACAGCCACTCCCCACTCAACACCAAGGCCCCTTCGAAGGCGCAGGAGCCCGGGCAAAGCCAAGTGGAGCTGGAGTTGACTCGCAAGCAGAGGGATGAAGCCTTCTTGTGGCAATCTGGTTGCCCCTCGACACAGCAGAAGTTCTTCCAGACACCAGTCTTCAATACGCATCATGAGGTTCCTGCCAATGGCCCAGATGGGAATCTTTGGATGCAATCCCAAGGGTGCCCACCGTGTAGCCATCCCCAGGCCAACTTGCTCCCTCAGAATGATCCGCAGAAGAGCATGCAGGCACCAGTCTTCAATACCCATCATCAGATTCCTGCGAATGGCCCAGATGGGAATCTTTGGATGCAATCCCAAGGGTGCACACCGTGTAGCCATCCCCAGGCCAACTTGCTCCCTCAGAATGATTCGCAGAAGAGCATGCAGGCACCAGTCTTCAATTCTCATCATCAGGTTCCTGCGAATGGCCCAGATGGGAATCTTTGGATGCAATCCCAAGGGTGCACACCGTGTAGCAATCCCCAGGCCAACTTGCTCCCGCAGAATGATCAGCAGAAGAGCATGCAGGCACCAGTCTTCAATACCCATCATCAGGTTCCTGCGAATGGCCCAGATGGGAATCTTTGGATGCAATCCCAAGGGTGCACACCGTGTAGCAATCCCCAGGCCAACTTGCTCCCGCAGAATGATCAGCAGAAGAGCATGCAGGCACCAGTCTTCAATACCCATCATCAGGTTCCTGCGAATGGCCCAGATGGGAATCTTTGGATGCAATCCCAAGGGTGCACACCGTGTAGCCATCCCCAGGCCAACTTGCTCCCCCAGAATGATCAGCAGAAGAGCATGCAGGCACCAGTCTTCAATACCCATCATCAGGTTCCTTCCAATGGTCCGGACGGAAATCTTTGCATCCAATCTGAAGGGTGCGTGCCCTCCGTGAATTCTCCCGGCAATTCGCCAAGTTGTCGGCAAAAGAGCTGGCAGGTGCCACAGTCAGCTCCGGATTTTGTTCCCAATGAGGGAAACTTATGGATGCATCCACAACAATCACCCTCCCAAGGCAACATGCCTCTTCCGGCATTCAAGAGCACAACATCACATGTGCATGATAAGAAAGAGAAAAATCAGAGTGAAGATGATGCCATGGCGCGTGGTTGCTTGCCTGCACTTCCAACCGGGGGTGGGATTCTTGCCACCTTTTTTGTAACAAGAAATCCGAGACAGTTTTCCCTCCATTCTGATGTTTCCAGCCCCTTCGCTGCCAGGTTGTGCCCCGGATGCCGCCGCTGTGCCATTGCCTACGAGCCTGCGCCGACCGACGCCCCCTGCGCCGAAGTTTGCGGAGCCCATGACGCCCGTTCGCAGCACCCGCGCGCCGCCGACGACACCGGCGGGGAAAGCGGCGGCGAGTCCAGCGCCGCGGCGACTCACCAGCGGGGCGGAGGTGTGACATTTGCGGGGAGAAACGCATTGGGGTTGGACGATTTTTTGGGGGCCAGTTGCTGGATGATTTGAACATATTTGAACTATTTTGAAGGATTTGGTGATGGATTGTGGCTGAGAGAAATAGCTTCTTTTTTGAGTCTTCTTGTTCCATTTCTACTTTTGATAAACTCTACAGTCTCTCTCCCTTTTCGCCTCTTTTTGCTTGGATCCCCATTGATGCTCGCTGATCATCCCAGGTCTCCAGGAATTAAACTTATCTTTTGGTCAAACTCACATACTCTGGTGCATTTTTTCTGTATTTTTCTGTAATCATTTGAGTATTTGTTGTTGGTTGGTCAAGGTTGTGTTGCCTTTTGCGAACTACTGCAATGAACATTAATGTGTTTTTTTTGTTGGTTAATTTGAGGATCCCTATAACTCCAACCCTACAGGGTGCTCAAACCTTCCAATGTTAATCCATTTTTCGTGGATAAACCACCATTTTTTTGGGATTGAATCGCCACAAAGTCATTTTGGTCGGTGAAATCTGCATGACATCCTTATATACCGTTGATGCATCAATGTTGAATGTTGGTCAAATCCCCATTTCTTGTTGCTAAAAAGCAACAACATCCTAGCCAAATCAGATTTTTTGGCGGCAAAAATCAAAACTTTCCACTTCATTCCTTCCAGTATTGTTCCCTGCCAAAACTCCCACTTCCCCGCTGCAAACAAATCCCAAGTGGAGTTGCGGCTTGCAGTCCTACTCCCAGCCATACATGGGCTAAATCCCATTGAATCCCAACAAAATTTGCGAAACAAATATCTCCAAGGAGTGGTACATTTTGATATGTTTGATGCCCAGATTTGAAGTTCACAGCCAAGGTGGGTTCCACCACCGTCCTGCCAGGTGGGCACCCCCAGTTTTCCAAATTGCTTGATATACCGATATACCCCATTAACATTCATTATTTACCATCTGGTTATTTAACATAGCCATGGAAAATCACCATGTTTAATAGGTAAACCATCTATAAATGGGCCATTTTCCATGGTTATGTTAAATAACCAGATGGTATAAATTATTATATACTATATACCCCCTAATCAACCCAAACGTTCGCCAAGTTAAACGCGCGTCAACTTAGCTATCGGCTATGGGGGCCCCACCCTGCATTCTTGTCGGTTTATGTTTCCATGAATCCCCATTAAACCCAATGAGACCCCATGAATCACCATGAAATCATCCATGAAATCCCTATGAATCACAGTCAATCACCACAACATGGCATTCAAATTCATGAAATCACCATGAAACACAGCAATTTCCCATGGTGACAGCAGGTCCTGGCTGAGATCTCGCGGATCCTCGCCGTCCCCGCCGGCGCCTCGTCGCGCTGGGCACAGCAGGTGCTACGCTTGGAGGGTCGCGATGGGGGCGCGGCGGCATCCAAGGCATTTAGGCGTGGCTGGGGATCCAGGGATTGAAATCAGGGGAAGTCATGTAGAAAATGGACATGAAGAACATATTTTCTGGACATTTTTTTGTTGATTTTGGTTGGTTGGTACCTGGGTTCGGCCGTGGATAGGGCATGTTTGATAGTTTTGCCCCTATCGCCCTCTCAGGTGCTGGTGGGTTTAAATGGGGGTATATAATTACCCCAAAAGCTGGATGGTTTATAGAGATGTTTATAGTGGACAATCCATAGAATCCCATTAAAATGGATTACCCTCTGGTAATTTAACAGTTTGCTATTGAAAATGGCCCAGTCGAAATAGTGGATAAAAACCCATTAAAAATGGTGTTGATTTTCCAGTTCGCTATGTGAATTTACCAGAGGGTAAAATGGATTAAAATGGATGTTCCATAAAGTATCATCATTTTGACGTCCACGGTCCCCCCGGTCCCCATCAATCATAGGCGGATCGCGCGGGAGATCCACCCAGATGGACGCCTGCCTCTGTCAGAGGAGGAAGGGCCGATTCTTTGTGACGTTTACCCTCTGGTAATGACTAACATAGCTATGGAAAGATCCACCATTTTTAATGGGTAAATCCACTATTTCGACTGGGCCATTTTCAATAGCTACGTTAAATTACCAGAGGGTAGACTTGTCCCCCGCAACCCCCTGGTTCGCCCACGCTCAGAATTGACATCACGAATAGCAGAAGATACCACGATATGACATGACGAATAGCAGCAGATACCAGCCACCGCAAGACCATGGCTCAAGCACAAAGAGACAACGCAATCCGTGACAGCCTTCACCTGTGGATACAAAGTGGCTTATCCTCGAAAGATAGATGGCCATGGCTCTAGATACAATTTGCAGACACAAGTCAGGACCACCGTGAAACAAAACAATTCAGATGAATTTTACCTTCACTTGGGAAGATCCACAAACAGAATACGGGTTATAAAATGTTATAAATTCCCACCCGGTGAAACTTTACATTCAATTGGGAAGATCCACAAGGGTATTAATTAGGGTTATAAATTCTCACCCCCGTTGAACTTTACATTCATTTAGGAAGATCCACAAGTGTATTAGGGTTATAAATTCTAACCCCTGTTGAAATTTACATTCAATTGGGAAGATCCAAAAGGGTATTTGGGCTATAAATTCCCACCCTCGTTGAACTCGTTGAACTTTACATTCAATTAGGAAGATCCACAACGTATTGGTTGTAAATTCCCACCCCCTTTGAACTTTATATTCATTTGGGAAGATCCACAAGGGTATTCGGGTTATAAATCTGCACCCCCGTTGAACTGTACGTTCAATTAGGAAGAACCACCAGGGAATTAGGGTTATAAATTCCCACCCCCATTCAACTTTCCATTCAATTGGGAAGATCTACAAATAGAATACGGGTTATAAAATGTTATAAATTCCCACCCCCTTTGACGTCGGAGTCATGGAAGATGACATATGAACCCACATGTGAGGCTGTGAGCAATTGAAAAAGACGCGGTCCGACAGACAGGGATGGGGCGCGGCAAACCTAGGGGTTGCAGCGAACTTGTTTAGACCTCCTGTTTCGCTTGGTAGTAGTTGATCTATTGAATACTTAAACCGTTTATTTAAACCCGTCTTCTTTGTAGTTCAAACTTGTTCCGGAACTTGTTTATTCCACATTTTGGCTGGTTGAACTCCACTCCTTTGATATTTTCCTGGCAGTTCAAATGCACCATTTTGCTTAGGAGTTTCCTGTTTCTTCCCAGACAATCTATTTGTTGGTAGTAACAACCCGAACTTTGGAGAGTCTCAACTTGTCTACTTGGTTCTATGTGTGTTTGTCGTTCAAACCATTTATATACACTTGTTTAAACGTCCCATTTTGCCCAGTAGTTGATCTATTAAACCTATTGTCGTCTACAGTATTCTTGCGTGTTTTGCTGATAGTTCAACCAGTTCAATCACGTGCAAAAAACATCAGTGCCGAAGAACATCTGATCTATTTTTTGGTATCCTCTGGCAATTTTTATACTCGCAGTATATCTATTGAAAGTCACCATGACAGGTAAATCGTCGAACTAATTGGGGCCATGATTTCCAAAGCAATCTGGTACCAGAGGGTAGCTAAAACTCTAATGAAAGAAATCCAGGGATCTGTTGGATTCGTCGTGAAAAAGGCATCAATCCCATTCAATTTCATTGAATCCAAATCATCGTTCAAATCCCATTCAATCACCCTGGAATCACCATTAACATCAGTTTCAATTCCCTATCTTTTGGTCGGTTTTCTACCACCTCCAGGACGAGATTCGATGCCACGAGGCCCTGGCACAGCTGCAACGCGCCCGGCGCCGCTTGTGCGGCCAGGGCGCCCAGCAACGGCCGCCCAAGCGACCGGAACGGCTGCGCTGCGAGGCACCCGGGGCCGGGGGTGGGGTTCGAAGTCGGCAAAATCTCTGAAGGTCTATGAATTTGGATGATTTTTGAGAAACTTTGAAGGTTTTTCCAATGGTTTTGGATGATTTTTTAATATTTTTGGGGTGTTCTTGTGGAATGATGTAAACTGTTCAAATGAAGGTTTATGGAAAAAAAACACATGGATTCAAAATTGTCCAACCATCGCCAGGCCAGTCCCTTGTCCGGCAGGTGCGCAACGCTGCGTGGTACATCACCTGGCAGCGCCGCGACGATGCCGCATGCGGAATCCTGCGTTACGAGCTCAGGGTGCAGGAGCGGAGGATTTTGGACTGGGGAGGCTGGAAGATGAAGGACCTTTATGGATCTTTGGGAACCCACTATTGAAAGAATGGTAGTAATTGTATAGTCATGGTAATAGTGATGGTATGCAGCATTCTGGTAATCGTTATGATAATAATGGTTGGATATCTAGCACTTGCAGCAGCTGGGAAACACATCCATGGGATTGACCCAATAATAAATAACCGCAAACAAACCAAAGTGGGAGCCCAGCTGCTTCATAAGAGTTTTGTTTGTGATTAGGAACCGTTTCTGAACAAAACAGGCTGAAATCCGACATGGAACCTCACTCAAAATTGCGTAGGAAGATTGATGGTGATCACGGTTTATGGTAATTATAACTTATTAGAACTATATATGGAGGTTTCCTCCTCAAAAATGGTACTCGATCCCATAGGTTTTCCCATTGTTAGTAGGCAATTTTGGATGAGGGGGTACCCCCATGACGTAGGAAACCTCCATATGCTCAGTGCAGATTGCCTACGGCTTGTGGATGGGGATACCCAAGACGGCCCTGGTTCGGCAAGCTCAAAGTTTTTTGCAAGCTGCCGTGTCAACATCGGGGTCCACAAGAATGTGAAGCGGGATGTAAAAAACAAGTGGTTCCTATAATCTTAAACTTGCAACGCCCATTTTTGGATGGCAGAAAACCAGCTTGCATATAATATAATAACACACACATATACATACATACATACATACATACATACATACAGACAGACAGACAGACAGACAGACAGACAGACAGACAGACAGACAGACAGACATAGATACATAGATACATAGATACATAGATACATAGATACATAGATACATAGATACTTAGATACATAGATACATAGATACATAGATACATAGATACATACATACAGACAGACAGACAGACATACATACATACATACATACACACACATTAACTAACTGACGAACTAACGAAGGAACGAACTAACTACCTACCAACCTACCGACCTACCTAACTCTCTCTCTCTCTATTTATACATATGCTATACACAAATCCCATTCTATCCCAAACTGCAGGCGCCGTAACATCTCATGTCCCCTTGTGGTCCCTAGGACGGCAGCTTCCTGGTCACCGTGGCCGAGTTGGATGCCGCGAGCGACGCTTCCTGCGGCTTCGAGCTGCGGAGGGAGCAGCTGTCGCAGCGGCTGTTGCAGCTGCTGCAGGCGAATGGATGGCTGGGGATTCGCCACCTGGCTGAAGGGATTCCGGTGGGGTGATATTGACGAATCTAACATGGGCAATCTATGGCTATGGGTTGATTTTTTTGATATTGGGAATGGGAATATCCATGGTTTTCTTTTGTGATGTAAATGGTTGAGATGGCTGCCAGAATGAGAATATGAATTGTTTTAATGGTTAATCATATGGTTGGAATGGGAAGATAATGGGACATCTCATGGTAAAAATTAAAAAACACATGGAGTTCTGTGTTCGGCACAGGGTCCACCCGTGTCCACCCCATCAGACCGATCTTGCCATCGATGTGGATTTAAGAGGTTCATTTCGGGCATACCGGTGGAACAGTGGAACATGGAGTTTAAACCAAAAACATGGGGATGCTTGTTCAAAGATAGACAAAGGGGCCTACCCAATGTGAAGCAACCATAAAGGATGGATTTGCCAACAATGAATATAGTGAAACCCAGAGGGGGTATTTATCGCATTGGGGGCCTCGGTGAATTCTGAATAGCGTCAGATTTCACCACTAAACATGTGAATCTTATATGACTTAAGATGACCTAATGATTTGCGCCAAACTTGGAGTTAACCAGTGGAAAAGGGGGATGTACGCAACAAGCAAGGAGGAGGTTTCCTCGGGAAATCCACTTCTTTGCCGCCTAAATTCCAACGATCTCCATGTCGTATCGGTTTTGTTCCAGATGTTTCTCCAACCCATCATTTTTATCACTTTTTTCTTGGGTGAACCCCGTGAACTCCAGATTTTTTTATTGTCCCAGTTCTCTTGACTTCCCGAGGCGTGGCAGCCCTCGGTGCGGGTGGCTGCAGCCTGAGCGATGAGGCTACGTTGTGGCTCAGGGAGTTGACGGAGGCGAGGCGTTTTTAAAGGCCTGGTGACTTTTCAAAGACCCAAATCCAACCTGAAAAACTCGGGAGATTCATAGGGATACAATGGGTATGTGCACAACACACCCATAGCTATCTACTTTTTGCTATCACTACCACTACCACCTTTTTCTACTACCTTCTTCTTCTCTGTCTTCTTCAGTTTCGCCTCCTTTTTTTTTCCCTTATTCTTCTTCTTCTTCCTCCTCCTTTCTTCCCAACTCTTTGTCGGCGCTTGCTGCTTGTAATTTCTTTTCTGACGCGCTCCCGCTTGCTGTCGGCTGGGGTCGGCGGATTTTCGTTATTGTTTAGACGCTTTCTTTTGCTGCCCATCTAGGATACTGGTCAACTTCAAGATGTATTCGTTTAAAACGATAGTGCCTCAAAACCCAATGATCTACCAACATTCCCCAGCAACCTAAGATCTTTTGGGTATACGGTATACCCCATTTTGGATAAATCCACATCAATCCACATCCTCGCTGTGAATTTGGTATTGCACAGCGTAACCCACCATTGGCAGGGGAACATCCTCGTTTAGGTGACCACGTTTGAACTACACCCCAGGTGCTTGAAGAATAAAAACACATGCACCAAAAGCTTGGAAACATGGCCTCGGGTGTGGATGATGGTTCGGTCAGGCAGGCAGCAAGTTCAATCTCTCCGGCTTCTGATTTGAACGTTGAGGCTGCTTGCAGGCCAGGCAAGGCCTTGTGCGAATTCACTGCGATGTGGCGTAGAAAAGGGTCAAAACCACCTCTGCC